GCTGCAGGATGGGCAGCATGATGGGGAGCCTGCGATCAGAAGAGTGAAGAATACAGGTATGGATGCCTTTGATTAGGAGTCCGATTGACGGCTCAGCGCAGCCAGCTCGGCCAGCTGCATCTGATAGAATCAGAAGATTAAGTAGAGAGATGAAGAATGACCGCCGAAGCGACCCTGGGAGCATAGGTGCGAGTCCAGCGCAGCGCGGCATGCTCAGCCGGGCTGCATCCATTAGAAGCAGGATAAGCTTCTGAGAGAGTGGGTTGCAGCAGTAGCAGTAGCAGCAGCGGCAGCGCAGCAACCTCAGATAATAACGGCAATAGTCCTGTATCAAGCCGCGACAGTAGCAGCAGCAGCGTCCTTAGAGAATAACAGTAATATCCTGTATCAAAGCCACAGCAGTAGAATATTGTTGTAGCTGTTCAGTGTTTCAGTAAAAGAGATGCAAGTGAAGAGAGATGGCAAGGTAAATGAAGCAGCAGCAGCAGTAGTAGCAGCAGTATGCAGCAGCAGCAGCAGCAGTAGCAGTATGCAGCAGCAGCAGCAGCAGCAGCAGCTGCAGCATCCGTAGAAAATAATAGCAATAATCCAGTATCAAAGCCAGAGCAGTAGAATATTGTTGTAGCTGTTTAGTGTTTCAGTAAAAGAGATGCGAAGTGAAGAGAGATGTCAAAGTACATGAAGCAGCAGCAGCACGGCAGCAGATGCAGTATGAAGCAGCAACAGTAGCAGCAGTAGCAGCAGTAGCGGTAGCAGTATGAAGCAGCAGAAGCAGCATTAGCAGGAGCAGCAGCACCACAATGCGATTCATGCGTGCCCCGCTTGTCTCCGTGAGCCAGGTTACATACGTGTCTGAAAGAGCCGAGCCGTAGAGACAGGTGCAGCCTAGGAGCCAGCGGAGCGGCAGTGGCAGGAACAGCAGCAGCGGCACATGCAGTAGTAGGAGCAGCAGGAGCAGGCAGCAGGGACAGACAGCAGCAGGAGCGGCAGTAGGAACAGGCAGCAGCAGGAGCGGCAGCAGTAGGAACGGCAGCAGGGACCGGCAGCAGCGGCGGTCAGAGAACCATGCCCATGGTTGTTGAACAGCCTGAGGAAATAATCAACCCGAATCCGAAACATTCCCATGCGAATAACAGATGTCCCCCGGAGCCGTCTTCTGCTTTGGTTATGGCAGAGACGCATGAACGATCACTTTTCCACGCGTTCATTAGCTCCAACACCAATTCACACCCATTGCAGATTGACATTGGGCCCTTTTTCTTTCTGCTGCACTTTCAAAATGCAACAACTGCAGTTTAGTTACCCAATTTAACACTAGTGACCTAGCTATTTAAATGCATGGCCCCTCTTTCCTCCCGCAGATAGACGGATTTAAATACATTCATTTTAACAAGTGACCTGCGAGTAATGAGATTAATGCCGTAAAGATGGCGCCGTGGCAAGAGCTCTGGTGTGTGCCGTCTGGAGCACGATGGGGTAGTCTTTGCACATGTTTTCCAACGTGGTTTTACTGCAAGTGGCAGAACATGAATCTGAATTGATGCACACTGCTCCTCTTATATCCCTCAGACAATAGAGATTTGATGCCATTTAAGATGCATTGCCCCTCAGTTAGCTCAAACACGTGTGAAAACGGAGCCTGCAGACCAAGCACGGGGCGAAAACTGGCGCCTGTAGTCAAGTGCGCGGGGCAAAAACCAGCCGCCTGCAGCCTAGACTCCGGGATTAATCTGTCCGCAGGTCAGCACACTCACTGTACTCACATGCCAGGAGACTTGGGAAAAGCAACGGGACAACGCGCCACCGCCAGTCGGAGGCAGGGACACGCATGGCACCGCCAGACCGTCTGCGCGCGGCAGCAGACCACGAGGAACGAGCAGCACAGGACCCGCGGAGCAGCCCGCAGAAGAGCCCGCAGAGGAGGAGAGCAGTGGAGACACGCGAACCACAGCAGGTGCCGGGACACGGAAGAGGAGCAGACCACAAGCAGCCAGACTGAGGACAGCCGGGCCACGCGCACGAGCAACACGTGAGCAGAAGCGACCCCTCCAGAACAACGCATGCATTTGCGAACAGGTGCGTTAGCGACATGCACTTTGCAGACTTCAGAAGGCCGGGAAGTGGGAGTCTCCGGCTTTTAACTTGCTGTCCTGGTGGTTATTGGTTGGCTGGATGTGGGCGTTGCTGGTATGATGAGCCGAGGAAGAGCAGCCTGTAGATCTGGGCAAGCAGCAGCCGGGTCTACCACAGTGAACTTTCGCGAAAGCTCCATTTGTGTATCAATTAGAGGCAAGTGTTTATGCACCAGGATGGCAACACCACGACTTTTACTCGTAAAGGAGGAGCTAAACACCTGTCCAACCCAGTCACGTTTTAATTTTAAATGTTCTTCAGTAGTTAAGTGGGTCTCCTGCAAGAGAGCCACGTGTATACCTTCCTTTTTCAGAAAACTTATAATTTTTTTACGCTTGATAGGACTATGTATACCACCAACATTCCAGCTGCAGATCTTCGGAGCTGAACCAGTACTGGTCATATCAATTTACAGACAAATAGCCAAGTGGATCCGAACAATATTGTCAATTTTAAAACCTCCAAATAGTACACAAAGATATACAAAAAGAGTAGAAACTTAGAAAAAAATAAATGCTCTGCTTTGCTAACATGGAACCAAAAACTTCTTACAAAAAACATTTGTAGAAAAACAAAAACAAAAGGAGTCAGACAACGGCCTAAAACGCCCAACAGGGGGCGCAAGCTATCTTCCCTGGGGACACCGAGAGAGATGCAGGGCCATGGTATCATTTGTATTCAGTTGCTATTGGGCCCACAGCTCTTTATGAATTCCAATATATACCGTAAGAACAAAACAAAAGTTAAAAAAAGAAAAAAACAACTAAGAAGACCAGGGCTTTTTGTGGCAACATGCCAGTTCTGAGACATTAAAATCTTACCACTCTATACGTCATATTGGTAGCCAGAGCTGCCATATCCAGCAGTAAACTGCGTATGTAGGGGATTAAGAAGAGGCTGGTGATGGCATCCTCGCACCGATCAGCCCGTCCAGAAAGCCGGTTGCATTCGCTGGGTGCCTGAAGAGCTTTTCCTCCCCGCGATGTCTGATTCTCAAAACAGCTGGGTACAGCATAGCAAATACAATACCCTGCTCTCTGCATCGTCGCTTGACTGCGGTGAATTCTTGTCGCTTTTTCACCACAGCGGCAGAGAAATCCTCAAATATCATCACGGAGGCACCTTTGTAACTCAGGGTCTTCAGCCTCCGGGCCGCTTGCATGATCCGGACCTTATCTTGGAAGTTGTGGAGCTTCATGATGACCGCTCGTGGTCTTTGTCCTGCGGGAGGGCGACGGGTGAGAGCGCGGTGGCAGCGGTCAATCTTAACAACGCCTCCTCTGAAATTATCACTCACCGACAAGCGCAGGCAGCCATGACTTAAAAAAGGACACTGGGTTTGTACCCTCGCTGCCTTCTTCAAGGCCAACAATCCTAAGATTACAGCGCCGGCCTCCAGTTTCAACTCCATCTCAGAAAGTTTAGCATCATGGCTCTCAGTCACGTCTTCCGGATATGCGCTGCTCTGCACCGGAGACTCTTGTGTCTAGCGAGGCAATGTCAGACGTGCACGTTTGCAATTTTAGTAGGACAGGGTCAATTTTTTTATCCAATGAGGCCTCCAAAGCTTTCAATACCTCTGCGGTGATTCTTTCCACCAGACTAATAATACATCAAACTTGTATAGCGCTTTCTTGGACACTCAAAGACGCTTCACATGGGAGTAGAATACAATAATTAAAAGGGTTTACGGAAAAGCTTGTTTGAAAAGATGGGTTTTGAGTACAGATTTAAAGTTAGATAGTGAGTCAGAGTTTCTAATGAGCAGTGGGAGTGAGTTCCAGAGGGTTGGGGCGGCAATGGCAAAAGCTCTGCCCCCCAAGGTTCGGCGGTTAGTGCGGGTGATGGGGGTGAGGAGGTTGGAATTGGCTGAGCGAAGGCGGCGGGTGGGTTGGTGCTGCTGTAGGAGCTCAGTAAGGTAGGGCGGGGCCAGGTTATGGAGGGACTTGTAGGTGAGGAGGAGGAGCTTGTAGTGGATGCGGTATTGAACGGGGAGCCAGAGATGTGTTCTCTGGACCGGGTGTGGGTGAGGAGGCGGGTTGCAGAGTTCTGGATGTATTGCAGTTTTTGGAGATGAGTGGTGGGAAGTCCGTAGAGGAGGCTGTTGCAGTAGTCGAGTCTGGAGGTGATGAATGCGTGGATGAGGATTTCGGCTGTTGAGTGGGTAAGGGAGGGGCGGAGGCGGGCAATGTTGCGGAGGTGGAAGAAGGAGGTTTTGGTGATGTGTTTGATGTGGGTTTGGTATGAGAGGGTGGAGTCCAATATGATGCCAAGGTTGCGTACAGAGGATGAGGGGGTGACAATGTGACCGTCGATGAGGAGGGTGAAGTTCTGGACAGAGGGCAGGAGAGTTTTGGGGCTGATGATGAGGAGTTCTGTTTTGTTACTGTTGAGTTTGAGAAGGTTATTGTCCATCCAGGTTTTAATGTCGGAGATGCAATTCTCGATGGTGGAGCGAATAACCGGGGTGATGGATTTGGTGGAGATGTAGAGTTGCGTGTCGTCGGCATAACAGTGGAAATGGAGTCCATGATGACGGATGATCTGACCGAGGGGAAGCATGTAGATGGTGAAGAGGAGAGGGCCGAGCACGGAACCTTGGGGGACACCATGGGTGACGGGGGAAGTGTGGGACTTGCAGTTGTTGACAGACACGAAGTGGAGACGATTGGAGAGGTAAGAGGTGAACCAGAGGAGTGCTGTGCCAGAAATGCCAATGGATTGAAGACGGTGGAGGAGGATGGAATGGTCTATTGTGTCAAATGCAGCGGAGAGACCGAGGAGAAGGAGGATGGATAAGGAACCAGAGTCGGCAGCGAGGAGGAGGTCGTTAGTAACTTTGAGAAGTGCCGTTTCTGTGCTGTGGTGTGAACGGAATCCAGATTGAAATGTTTCGAAGAGATGGGAGGAGTGGAGATGTTGGTGGAGTTGGTTGATGACGGCGCGTTCCAGGATTTTTGACAGTAACGGGAGGTTGAAAGTTGTCCAAGTTGTCAGGGTTGAGGCCGGGTTTTTTCAGGAGGGGTGTGATGGAGGCTAGTTTGAGCGAGGAAGGGACAGAACCAGAGGTTAGGGAAGTGTTGATGATGCAGGTGATGAGAGGGATGAGAGTTAGTTGACAGGTTTTGAGGAAGGAAGATGGGATTGGGTCAAGCTGGCAGTTGGAAAATTTCATGGTTGAGAGAAGTTTGGTGGTGTCAGAGGGAGAGAGGGGGGAGAAGGAGGGAAGGCTATGGACTGTGAGTGCAGTGGGTTCAAGTTCGGAGTGGGGAGAAGAGGAGGAAGTGGAGGCAAGTGAACAGTGTATGGTATGGATTTTGGTATGGTAGAATGACAGGTAGTTATTGCATTGTCTGTAGTGAAAGTGGAGGTTATATTGTCCTTGGGTTTTGTCAGATTTGCAAAAGTTGAGAATAGGGTGTGGGGGTTGGAAGAATTTGAGTGGATGAGTTGTGAATAGTAGTTGGACCGGGCAGTTTTGAGAGCAGAGTTGTATGTGGTTGTGGCTTGTTTGTAGGCTTGTGCATGAACGAGGAGACCAGTTTTTATATGGAGCCTTTCGAGTTGTCTCTTTTGTTTTTTGAGACTGTGGAGATCTGGGGTATACCAAGGGGCGGCGGTAGAGAAGGAGACTGAGGCAGTTTTCATGGGGGCAATTTGGTTGAGGCAGGAGGAGAGTGTGTGGTTATAGAAAGTGACTAGATCGGAGGCAGATGGATCTGAAGGGAGGGAAGAGCTGGATAGGGCATGGGATATGGAGGAGGAGAGAGATATGGGACAAATGGACTTCAGATTTCGGAAAGTAATTGTTTGTGTCTGTTTGGTGGTGGGAGAGGGGGTAATTATGTCCAGGGTGATGGCCAGATGATCAGAAATGGTCAGGTCGGTGAGTGACAGGTTGTGTATGGTGAAGGAGGGGGTGGAACAGACCAGATCCAGGATGTGTCCATGGTTGTGTGTGGGTGAAGTGACGTGCTGGGTGAGGTTGAGGCAGTTTAAAATGTCCAAAAAGTCAGATGTAAATTTAACTGTAGGGGAGTCAATATGAATGTTGAAGTCACCAAGGAGGAGAACGGATGGAGAAATGGAGGACAGCTGAGTTACAAAATCAGTAAAATCTGAGAGAAATGATGAGCAGGTTTTGGGAGGGCGGTAGATGACTGCAGCAATGAGTGATTGGGAATCGGGAAGTCTGAAGGCCAGGTGTTCGAATGAAGATACAGCTGGGATGGAGATGGGGCGGAGGGAGATGTTGCTGCGGTGGATGACTGCAATGCCACCTCCTCTCCGGTCTAGGCGCGGGTTATCGATGTAGGAATATCCAGGTGGGGTGGTCTGATTTAATGTGGTGTATTCCATGGGTTTGTGCCAGGTTTCAGTGAGACAAAGTATGTCCAGTTTATTGTCAATGATGAATTCACAGAGGAGCAGGCTTTTATTGCTGAGTGACCGTGTATTGAATAGTGCTGTTTTTAGAGGCTTTTGTTGTGAAGTTTGTGTGGCAGAAATTGGGACAGACAGGAGGTTTGATGTAGTCACGTGATGAGTGCTCGGATGACGTATGCGGATGTTGTTGGAACCAAGCCAGTGTGAGCTGCGCATTGATCTGCAGGCGGACCAGACAGAGGGAATATTGCTTTTGCCTGTGAAATTGAAGACAAGATTGCGACGGGACCCTCGGTGGATGTAGGGGCGACGGCGGACAAGACAGTGTTGTTGCAGAGTTGAGGTGATGTCCAGTGAAGGAGGTGCGCGGTGGTTGCGTCTGATGAGCTGTGAGGACGTGTAACGAAGCGCCATGGACGGAGCCGGTGTTGACAGGAGCCGCAGAGAGGCCAGCAGGAAAGCCACGAACAGTAGCCGCATAGCTGGCTGGCTGCTCCGGGGTGCAGGCCGGCCAGTAACCGGGTTGTAATCCACTGATTGAGAAGAGCACAGCGTGGCTTGGCCGGAGGCAGCCCCGGGAGCAAGCGTGATGGTGGGCACAGCAGGGACACACCGTGACAGGCTGTGACAGGCGGCAGACGCGGGCAACCAGTCAAGGAAACAGTCCAGGCGCCGAGGCAACATCAGACACCACCGACACCAGGCAAAAATCGGTACGTTGAACCGCTTACTTTTAGCAAAAAACAAACTTTTACGTCCGGAGTGAGAAGCGGCAGCAAAAACGCGCCCGCGTCCTCTTGCATCCGGGTTAGGACTATCAACGTCCAGAGGCTGGACCGGTTGTACTGGCGCAAGAACAGGTGGTGGCGTGGGGTCCGCCATTACTCCTTCACTGTTAGCAGCGGCAGGCGTGGAAACATTGTTTTCTCTTTGTTTTCCAGATTTCACCCCCATATTAGTGATCTTCCTCTGTCTTTGCATCTTCACGAGCAAATCGGCACGAGTTTCGTCGTGGTCTTCAAAGTTAAATAAACAGAAATAGATACCGAGCTGCGGGAGCCCAAGCAGAGAGCTGCTACTCCGCCATTAGCCCAAGACTCCTTTTTTCCTTACACTCGCTCTTAATATGTTGCCTTGGGACAGGGAGCCCTGGCCCACGACCAAGAGAGGGAGAGCCATCCTATGGGCTATCGCTGCAGTTGGTTTGGTCGTCAACTTGTAACACAATCCAGTCTTTGGTCCAATAAGACTGACAGAAATAAAAGATCCATAGGAGAAGACAGCGTTAGAGACTCCCTACCTACGACTGTGACAGTAAAATGCCCGGTGGGTGCAACAATTACAGCCCACATACCAATGGCAACAATCTTTCCATTATCCTTTTGACTTGACTACACACTCTACTTGTGTTACACACCGTCTACATGTAAATATGAGAGACATGGAAAAAGCTTTAGAGCATCGGTGGACTGCACCTGTGATGCTTGGAAGTATGTTATATCCAATACAGGTCCTGATTGGGGGTATAACCAGGAACACAGACTAAAGGGACGAGTGATTCTGACTACAGACCACTCACAAACAACTGTGCTAGTCACTGTGAAAAATTGTGGGATTGATGTGAATGGGATTTACGTTATTGGACATTATCCAGGAGACATTAGACAATGGATTTCAATTGCCATACCCGAGGACAAGGAGCTAGACAAGGAGGCCATAGAAAGTGAAGTATGGCAAGACAAACAGAACGTACAGGTGACTGCTGACTGGACTGTGTCTGAATTGTTAAAACAAGCAACCGGATATGGGGATAGAAATGCTTGGTTGTGGGCAGTGGAGCACATGTCAGCGGCTGCTGGATTTGACGATTGTGTTGTGTGCTCTACTGCACGTCCCACTTTGTATACAGCCACTTTTCCCAGAAGATGTAGATGGTTATAATTGTATGATAAAGTTGTTTTGGCAAGAAAAAGACCTGACGGAGGAGACAAAGACAGCCCCTAGCAACTGTTCAATGTTTGAAGTATTGTTTCCAGAATTGGATTCAGAAATTCAGCCCCCTATGTTTTCCCACAGGAAAAGCAATTACACCTGTTTCCACTCACTCAATGGAGGGACGAGGCCGCGTCTCCAGTGGGGGTTTCTTCCAGCAGACTGGTGTGTCGACAACGTCACCCTGCCCAGTCCGGTCCCCATGACCCGGACCAGAGGTGATTTGTATTGGCTGTGTGGAGATTTAAAACTTAGACATAGACTAATAAAAAATTTTACAGGCAGTTGTGCAATGGTGCGATTAATGATGCCCATTTCCATAATTGGCCATAAGCCATCCCTAGACAGTCCCCACCCACAGCATAGATTTAAAAGGGCAATCCCATTCCTAGATACTGGGAAAGATAATCCAACTTACATGGACTCTATAGGTGTTCCACGTGGAGTCCCTCATGAATTCAAACTGGTAGATCAAATTGCAACAGGTTTCGAAAATCTTCCAATAATCTCAGCTATTTTCCCTATTACTCCAAACAAAAATGTAGATAGAATTAATTTCATTTGGTATACTATGCTCCGGCTTGCCAATCACACCAGTGATGCAATAGAGGGATTGGCGGAGCAGCTTGGGGCCACCTCTCTAGCATTCCAGAACAGGGTGGCCCTAGACATGATTTTAGCGGAGAGAGGGGGGGTTTGCAGTCTATTTGGTACAGAATGTTGTGTATATATCCCAAATAACACACATCCAGATGGATCAGTTTCTAGGGCTGTTACAGCCCGGCTCGGTGGCTGCAACAAAGAATAAGGGGGAACGACACTAGGACCAGTTTTAAAGCCATGTTTGGCATTTTATTGATAAAGAATAATAATAGTATATTTCTGCGATCAGGGTAAGTGTAATGTGAGTGGCTGCGTGCAATGCAAGTATCGTCAGCAGGATAACCTTATGTGTAGATAGGAGTGTTGGATGAGAATGTGTTACTGTTGGCATGTTCTGTAAGTGAGAGGTGGGCTGAGGTGCGTGTGGTGCGAATGATAGTCAGTATGATAACCTTTGTGTAAATGTACGTGTTGAGTGCAGTGCGTGTAAGTCAAATCATAAGACAAACGAGCGGCGTGGCCTGACACGTCTGTCCCAGGACGTGGCCGGGACCAGGGTGTCAGAGGGCTGGAGGGAGAGAGAGAGCGGGCCATCAGGACACCTGCTGCTTTTGAGCGCACCGCCAGAAAATCAGGGCAGAGCTGAAAGAAAGTCAGGTTAGAAGGGGAGAAGGCGTACGCCCGGGCGCGTAACACCCCCACCCCCAAGAGGTGACCGGCGGGGAAGAACCGCTGGTCAGCAAGAGGAGGCGCGTGACAAGGCGTCAGCAAGGATATTGTCCTTGCCAGCGACGTGTTTGATGGACAGGTTGAAGTCTTGAAGAAACAGAGACCATCGCATCAGACGCTGGTTTGCATTCCTCAACTGATGTATGAAGACGAGAGGATTATGGTCCGTGTAGACCACCACCGGACAGCTGGAGGAGCCCACATAGACCTCAAAATGTTTCAACGCCATGATTAACGCCAATGTCTCTTTCTCAATTGTGGAATAGGCATACTGGTGCTTTAGGAATTTCTTGGAAAAGTAGCACACAGGATGCTCTACCTCATCCGGGCCATCCTGAAGTAAGACCGCGCCCACTCCTGCATCACTGGCGTCAACCGCTAGCTTGAATGGACGGTCATAGTCAGGAGCAGCCAGAACGGGAGCTCTCATAAGCAACAACTTAACCGACTCAAAGGAGTGTTGACATTCAGGCGACCATTTAAAACCCGATTTGGGACTTAACCCTTTAAGCGCCAAAGTCGCAATATTGCGACAAGCAACATTGCTCACTTAAACAGGCTGTATGTAAAAATGTGGTGCAGAATCTTGTTAATACTTTTCACCAGGGGTTAGTGGACATGTGTGCCTGTAATATGAGCAACATTTGTGGGTGTGGTTATATTGAAAGTTTTTGAGTAAATTGAGTTCGTAAAACACCTGCGGCGCAGCCGCGCGGAGGCGAAGCAGCAGCGGTAGAGCTGAAAGGAGCGAGAGCAGAGCAGAGGGAGAGAGTGGTTTTTATTTTACTCACGAGGTCTTCAGTACCAGAGAAGTACTTGGTCTGGTACTGGCTCACTCAGATTCAGAGGAGGAAGACACACAGGTGTCCAGTGAAGCAGACACGGACATTATTGGTGACGGGGAGACCGCGCCATATAGTCCACAATCAGCCCCAGTACAGCGGCTGCTTGTCCTCCGTGTGGCCGCGGTAGAAGCATTCTGTGAACGCCAAGCAGGATCCGTGGTGGAGGGGACAGGGGGATCATAACACCGGGCATGTGGGAGAAAGTAGTGGGGGTAGACATCCACGGGGAACACGGGAGACGCGGGAGAAGTCGCGGGAGAGCCGCGGGAAAAAAACACATCGCTAATCGCGTTCACTGCCTTTACCAGCAGCGATGATGAGGATGAAGGCAGTTCTTGAGAGAAAATAATCCACAAAAGTGGATCAGAAGTGTTGAAGAGCCTGTTGTTTGTTGTTGAGACGATCTGACAAGTTCTGAGCCCATTCATTTCATCTCTCTGTTTCTAAACGGTAAATCCTGGAGCCTCATTTCCACTGAGAAAAATAGTAAGCCCACTACTTCTCTGAAAGGGAAGTATTGAAACCAATCTCAAGATTTCATGACTGTAAACTATAAAGAGTGCTGTCTTGATCACTGAAGGTCTTTGAAAATAATACAATTCCATATGGCCGCAAACCAGTGCTAAAACATTATCTATAATCTGGATCAGGGAATTTATTTCTATCCCAAATTTATTTCATAGTAAAGATATTTCACATTGACTGTTTATAGTATTCCCTGATCTCAAATAACTCCCAAGCTACAGCTTTTTGAAGTCTTTATACAATAATTAACATTTTCCAAAATGGCCGCCGCCTTGATGACGTCACAATATGCAAATTAGATGACGAATCAACTTCCATCCCAAAGTTTGGTTCAAACTGAAGATATTTCTAATTTACAGTATGCCTTTATCTCAAAGCATTTTAAAGTTATAGCCTTTTGAAATCTTGAAATCAAAATTGTATATTTTCTTGAAAAAACTCTGGCGCCTAAAGGGTTAATAAGCTTGTGAGTGGTGCGGCCACTGTGGAAAAGTTTTTGCAAAAACTGCGGTAAAAGTGGTGCGCCATCCCAAGAAAACGCTGGAGCTCACGCCGCGTTGATGGCACAGGGAAGGAGGAAACCGCTTCTATCTTAGCGTCCACTGGCTTTACTGCACCACCACCCACTATTTTCCCCAAATAGACTACAGTCGCTTTCGCAAATTCACATTTGGCAAGATTGATGGTCAGATTAGCTCTGTTTAAACGCATAAAAGTGTCTTTAAGCTGACAGAGGTGCTCGTCCCACGTTTTCGAATGCAACACAATATCGTCCAAGTAGGCCTCGCACCCCGGCACCCCCCGCAAAACCAGGTTGACTAACCTCTGAAAAGTAGCAGGAGCATCCCGGACACCAAAAGGCATCACGGTATATTGGAGAAATGAGTCAGGCGTGACAAACGCACAGATCTCCTGGGCCCGTGGAGTCAAAGGCACCTGCCAATACCCCTTCAACAGGTCAAGTTTGGACACAAAGGTAGCCGACCCCACTCTGTCCACGCAGTCATCCATACGTGGAAGTGGATAAGAGTCTGGCTTCGTGACCTGATTCACTTTACGGAAAGCCGTGCAAAAGCGATCAGACGCATCCGACTTTATGGCAAGGAGGCAGGGCGAGCTCCACGGACTGGAACTGGGCTCCGCAATACCATGTGAGGTCATGTAGTCAACCTGATTTTGGAGACGCTGACGCTACTCCGGATTAACCCGGTAGGGATGCTGCTTAATCGGTGCGTTGTCCCCCACGTCAATATCGTGACACAACACCCGAGTACGGGACGGCACATC